TAAACAAAGTTACTTTTGCATTCAAGCATCGATGTTGACTCTTGCAGGCACTTACAGACATTAACAAAGTAAGAACAATCAGTCTACTATTTCAAAGGGTTTCAGGTAAAATAGGTTACACAATGATCCACTAATTATTTATATTTACCTAGATGATTGGTTTAAGATTAGGTTCCCACTCAATAATGAAATGTAAGCGCGACCTGTCTGAGAATTGTTCAGTGGAGCACTATAAAAATGATGTGTTGTCAGTTCGTCTTTTATTCGTCTATACAAAATATTAAATGCACGTGTCTCCCTTTCAAGAACTTTAACCGTTTAGTCGGGATGAAAATCAGACTGTTAGATTCGTTATTTTTCTTTCATAGTGCATCAGCATGATGTCGAAATACTCACTCCATTATTGCTTTTTAATCCTTTCGGGATTCACTCATCTGTTGGATACGTTTTTTTTTTAATTCTTTAACTAAAAAACATTTACCCGTAATTTGTGCGTAAAAGCAAAACGTTTTAATATTTTACAATTCTATAGCAGTAGTACCGCTAATACAGCGGAATCAGAAATATAATTCTACGTAAACCATATGATCAATGATTTGTTCAGAATGGAATCAAAGCTTGTATAATATGATAATGATAGAGTTGTACTCGAGTGCTGTTTTGCTATATATCAGCTTTATTCAAACACACACCAATTCGATCGCTTTGCGTGCGAGCTCAATTGTCTCATTGAGAATGCAAACGAAGCTGTCGACATTGATTTTTTCCTTTTTAAAAAGTGATTTGATGTAGGTACTGATACCAAAATAAACAGTGGTTTTGATCTTGATGTTCGCGCACGTAAATAAGATCTTTTTTCACTCTTTATTTTAAATATTATCTTTTATAATAGATGACCGGTCCCATTTTGACTATAGTATATGTAAATATAAAGGTCATAAAATTAAATTGATTCTTCTGTATAAACTTTTAACTATTAAAACCAAAAACTTTTGGGGCTAAAGATACGTTTATATAATTATACTACTTGGACTTGGGGTGATAGAAGAGCATCAAAATAAGGTATTAAGAGAGTTTTAGAAAACAGTATCTTTCTTTTCTGCCCTTTCAGAGCGGTGCATATTCTTGTTGGTCTGTCAGTTGTGGAAAGTTTACTTACTTCACAAGGCTTCAAGGGATAGGGTTCAGGGTTGGCAGGGTAAAGAAGGCTGGAATGGCATATTTTTATGTCGCAAAATCACTACCTCGCTTCCCATCGTCTTTTTTAAGAAATAAATCAACTTCATTAGGAACATATTGATTGCTATAAGATCTTGCAATTGTTATTATTTGTAAATTTAGTGTAAATACTAGATGTGTTTATACACATATGTGTACATAAATATGTACATAAATATTCATGTTAACCAGTTAGCTTTAGCAAAAACGAGAGTAGGTACATTATTATTTTCGCTTCAGAAATAAACGTTCCGGAGCATTCTGGAAATTATATGTAACCAGTTCTAGGAATTCTGTTGATAAGAAATTGGAAACAGATAGTGTTGTTATTCTTATTCTCAGGAATCCTACTTAATATTATAAATGTCAAAGTGTGTGTTTGTTATGCAATCACGGAAATACGACTGAGTGGATTTGGATAAAATTTTACACGTACTTACACAGCTTACAGAGTCTGGACAGAGTGGGTTTCTCAAAAAAACTAAAGTTTTTAACGCGGACGAAGTCACGGGCAGTCGCTAGTTATTTTATATATATATTTTTGGACAATGAGCTAAAAATAATAATGGTACCTGCTTATTTATTAATCAATGATATAATTGAATGGGCGATTTATTCTAAATGTCTCTGTTTACTGTTTATTGTACCAAATTCCTGTAACTTGACTATGATTCTAACATTGTTTTCATGAAAATTTAATCTTAAATAACCATAAAAAGAAAGAATCTTTAAAGAAGAAACATTTACTTACAAGAAGTAGGTAAATTGTTGTTATTATTTTACTCGAGTTTAAAATATGGGATATAAAATCCACTTTTTATTTTTTTTGGAGCAAAACATTTTCATCAGGTTCAGGGGACATTGAAGTAATTTTTATAAGAGTTCCTGTTTTTCTTTTGTCGAACAGAATCCCAAAAACGCCACATTTAAACTTTTTCATAGAATCAAAGTAACAATAGAATTGTTATAAATGGTGCCTGTAGTCAAACGGTAGAGATTTCGTTATGTAGCCTGACGTAGAAACCGTTTATTTTCTGTTGTTGGGGTAGTCCGGATGACTGGACTATGGTTAATTTTTTTCTCCGTAATACAGCTAACCAGATTTTGGTAAAATAAATACCTCCCTGGTTATTTCAGTTAACTGTACTATAGGATAAATATATTTTTTATGTCCTGGTACCTGGGGATAAATATGTTTTCTTCTATATCGTTAACTGTACCATCGAATAAATTTATTCATTAGAAACCACTCACCACGATAAGGTATCCTTACATTCCTCTAAGGTAACAGAAGGTTTAAATGTGGAACGATGTCGCATCCGCACGTCGCAATCTGAGACATCTTTTTGTTTCTAAAAATTAAAGACAAACTTAGAGGCACACGTTTGACGAGCCTCGAATAGGCATTGAATGCGTTTCATGAAGCCATTGATTGAAGAGGTTCCATAGAAGATGGCCAACGAATGCCAAAATACAGGCGATATTCTTTGAAAAACAATATTGATATTGGGTATATTCTAGACTTGCAACGAATAGTATATTCGGCAGTATACCGAATATTCGGCGAGGCCCCTGACCGAATAGCCGAATATTAGGCAAAAGTATTCGACTGGATTTTAGCGCCAAAAACTTGTACACACGTGATTGTTTCGCGCTCCTTTGTTTGCAGTGCAATTCAGTCAAATGCAGTTTCAACAGAAATGGATCTTTTCTTAAATATTAGTAATATATCACGTCATGAAAACCCGTATACATGGTGGCAGCAAGGAAATTTGAATTTCCGTGTTTGATTAAGATTGCAGCAAAATATTTGTCTGCACCAGGAAGTAGTGTTTATTCAGAGCGCCTTTTCTCTGAAGCTGGGGTGGTCTACGAGAAAAAAAGTAGTAAACTACTTCCTAAAAATGCAGAAAAGTTTCTGCACCATAACCTTCCCCTTCTAAATTTTAATTATGAAAATAATTCAAATGCATAGAAAAATTCTTAACTTGTTTAAAACAGAAAATGATTAAATTATGTACCTGTTTTATGTACCAATGACTACTTAATAAATGATTATAAAAGAAATGAGAACCTTATCTTTCTAAATTTTGATTACCACAATAATTCAAATACATAGAATCCTCCATTTTTCCAATTCAGAAGTTGATTATGTACCTGCGTTATGTACCAATGACTACTTAAATGATTATATATAACAGAAATGAAAATATGAATATATACGTAATCAATTGATTTTGATTTTTCATTTTACCAATTATTTCTCTATGACAAAATATATTATTTATGTATTCGGTATTCGGCCGAATAATATGTAGATATTCGGTATTCGGCCGAATATAATAAAAGCAGCCGAATATGCCGAATACCGAATAGTAACCGAATATTCGTTGCAAGTCTAGTATATTCTAAAACTTTCAGTATGACTGGTGTGACTCAGCAGTCCGGGTGACGTGTTCAACCAAACTACTGATACAGAAAAGTCTTTAGTTCGGACTAACACCGCCCAGAATGATGAATACCTAATCAATTCTAATAATGACAATAAAACTTACAAAAAATATTAAGTCTCGAAAAAAGCAGAGTTTCCACTACAGAAACTAAATATCGTATATAAAATGTATTATTTTTTTTATTTCAAGCATTGATTTGCTCGATCTTAAATCTTAAGAAATTATTTACTGAAAAAATTAACTCGGTCAAGGTTTCAGGCAGGACTTGAACTTGCGTCTGGCAAGTTCCGGGTGGATGCACTAACCGTTAAGTTACCGATATTATGAGTGAAATCTTGACTTACTTATTTTTCTTTCCAGTAAATAAATTCTTTTAATCGTATATAAAACCTAAAAAGTATATAAAACACTTTGAATGATTAAGAAATATTTATTGATTATTTCTTTATTTTATAAGTTGAGCTCGTCGAAAATATTTTAACTTAAGAAACATTTTGTAACATATGAAACATGTTGATCAATATAAATATTATGTAGTATAGCAGTCATTGACTTTTAAATAAACTCTGATTTATTGATAACGTAGCGTAACAGGTTGCCTTACTAACGATTGCAACTATTAACTGCAAAGGGAATATTGAATATATTTACGGGCTCACAAAGCAAAGGAGACTCATTTAAACTAAATTATATAGTTGAGCCAGCGTATCCGCTGTAAACTGGTAATATTTTAGAAATTATCAAATAATGTTATACGGTCTCTGTGATTTAGTTTGTGTAACGATTTTAAAGTATATTTCACTATGACGACTATCATGATGATCATTAATATTATTAATTTCCCCACTACTGCGGTAAAGGTCTTCCCTGTAGGTAGAATAGGCAGATTGAGCCACGCGGTGAGTCACACGATCCATCACGCGGACCTAGTGTGGAGATTAAGCTGTGACCCACCACGTGGGCGTAGTGCGGAGTGGTGGGTGCTAATGGCGGTAGATGTAACCGGGACCAAAAATGCCCAACGCTAAAAAAGCGTTCACTTGGAAATAAAACTAAATAAAAAAAAACTAAGCAAAGAAGGATAATTTAAAAAAAAATATTCCTGTCGGGTTCAAACTCAAGACTTTTTGCATACTTTCGTATGCGTATGAGCGTTTGTTGCATTAGATCAAGCCACTATAAAAAAAAATTAAATACACATACTTATATACACAGAGGTATCGATCACGGCCTCGCGAATTGCTTATTTTTTACATCTCTAAAAATTACCAGTGCGCCTAAAGAAGTTTTCACTAGAAAAACTTATAAAAATATCATGTTTTATTTCAGATGAGCCTGGGTTTAGTAGTCCCATAGCTAACGTGACGGCTCCTTTAGGCCGCGAAGCAGTCCTGGCGTGCACCGTTCACAATCTCTCAACTTACAAGGTAAATAACAACGCAATTCCAAATACTGACTAAACGTCGTATTTGACCTTATTTTATAATTCAAAACGAGCTCGGATCCCGTATTTTATAACTATCCTATATTTTGAAGCAAAACAACGCAGAGCCTCTACTTTGTTTTGCTGGAATGTAGAATATGGAAATAAGGAATAAATGTCTGGAGTAGATATCTGTCATTAAGTTCTTATTCAAACAAGGAGAATCCTATATTATTATCAATATCGCTGGCTCTGAAATATAATAAGTAGGGATGGGCCGACTAGCCGCTGACTAGTTGAGAAAGACAATTCATCATCTTTTGTAGTCGGCGATTAGATACAATTAATTAAATAAAACTAATAATTCATGCTTTTTGATGTGATAACGTCTTATAAATCTATGAACATGCACGCACGAAAAAAAAACTGTGACGTTAAAAGGTAGTTCAACTTTCCGCGGTGTGTGTGAGGTGAGGTCGAGGGCTCCTTCGGCTCCCTCTCCCGCCTTCCCCGTGACTACTAGTACTAGTCGGGCGAATAGTTGGCAATTTCAAAACCGATCAGTCGACTAGTCGGTTAGTCGATGAACACTATAGTCGGCTCATCTCTAATAATAAGCAATATGTCTAATAACTGAATAATTATCTTTTAGTTATTTTGAAAGTCCTAAAAAAGACGTTCAAACACTTTTGTTATGAAAAAAGAAAATTCTAAAAACACCCACACCTTATAGAAAATATAGTTTAACAATATGAAATACCTATACCTTAATGGTAACTTACACATGGCAACAATATAAAAACTGATGTAGTAGCCACTAGCACAAGAAGGTTGTAGAAATTAAGATAATACGAAAATTTAACAGACACTATGGTGACTCTTTTTTTTCGCTTAAAAGAACCATTTCAACATGGCTCCCATTTTTCCAGAATGTGCCTGTACCCAACACTCAAACTAACCCAAAAATTAGGCATTCTCTCCAAGGTCCACAAACATTTTACGCTCATCGGAAGTCATTGACAGGCGAGCTAGAAAACTCATAGGCGATGAAATACTCATAATCAAATGCCTACAAACACTCGAACATCGCTGTCTGGTTACGTGTTTGAGTGTTTTCTACAGCTAACTTTTTGGGGAGTGTGCACAAGTACTATCAAATTAATTCCGCCTGCACCTTTATACTATAAGACAACGAGATCTAGACAGGAACTGCTTCCGTAAGCGGTTGACATTCCCCTACTGCGTACCTAACGATTTGCAATTTCGATACCTCTTTCATCATGCTAACCGCTAGGGAATAGAATTTGCGTCATGCGTCATTGTTGCTCGATATACATAATAAAGAGAACTTTAAGGCAACAGTAAATAGGCATTATTTGAGTCTGCGTGCACCAGTTTAACTACATCGTTGCTTAACAATGCATTTATGGTCAAACGCACTCAAATCTTTTATATAAAAAAGTGGTAGAAAGATTGTGAGGTAATAAAGGTAATCTTATATTATAGTTAGATAAGGATATGTTTTGTGAAAATAATGTAAATGAATATAAACGCTAATGGGTATAGTGGGACACGAGAGAAAAGATGGATGAAATGTGTGAAATGTGATATAGCAAATGGATGACTTTGACTTCATATCGAGAAATATCGGAGAATAAAACTTATTGCTCCGATCTCCAATAAAATTGGGAATACGGCTGCTAGATGATGAATGAATGCATAGATCGATGCTTTATGTAAAGGGTAAGATTATCTATCGTATTGTGAAAATTCATGACATGATCTTTTAAACTGAAATCAAGGAGTAGTAATTTTTTTTATTTCTTTCAGAATATCATATCTAATATAAACTATTCATTATATTTTAAACATTTGTTCACTAATTGCAATTTAGGACAGGACAAAATTATATACTAAGCATGAAATTGCATTGATTTACTTGTCTTATAATAATAAATAGTTTTTTTTTTCTAGTTATTTATTTCTATGTATTTGATTTTTCACTCAGAAAGGCTGTAGTGATTAACGACTTCAATTTTATTAGTTATATTATTATGTTCATAACATTTATTACTTATAAGGTTATATTTATTTGTGTCTTAAGATGGGCTCCCCTATTTAAAAAAATGTTTGCCATAATTTCTCTTTCTAAAAACGGTTAGTTTTTAAAAACTTCGAAAACAGAATGATTTTTTATAACTATGAATTAAAATATATAAAAAATTGCTGTTATTCAGACAGAAGTAATTGATAATCACTGAAACGAGACTAAAGTCGTTTCGTTGACATATTAAACAATCGAAATAATTAATCTCCAAAGTGTCGCGTGCACTGAGTCCAAAGTTATCTTTTGCGGTTCACGCCGATTTTTTATTTTTTTTAATTACTATTTTATAAAATAAGTACTTATTATATATTCAAAAACTTTTGTAAGCTTCGAACGCCAGTTTTAGTACGAAGCCAGAAGTTTCGTCACGCAGGTGTGGGATAAGCATTACAGAATAGCACTGCTGCATTCATAATCTTAAAATCATTTATTCAGTTTAGGCTGTTACAAGCACTCATGAATCTCTAGAAGCTACGCCATCGGTTCGTAAATCTACGGCGCGGGAGACCTTGTACTGAGAAGAACCGGCAAGAACCGATTTCTCCTTGTATTATTATTTACTGAATGGTCAAGTTGAAAAATGACTTCAGAGATGATTCATTAAGTCACCCTTCATTACATAATGCCAAATATATATTGTTCATCTGCATTTTAATTGCTGTGTCATTACAGTATCAATACAAATAGTATTATTTATATTAGGTATAACTAGACAACATCTTCAATAGCAAAGGAGTAAGAGCAGACTCATCTATGCTGGCAGCACCCGTGCACAAGCATGACGCATGAACCAGCCATCGCTTCGCTCAACCATATTTTAGGGACCTTAACGACCCGCCTCACATGACGTCATCGAAGAGACTTTTAAGAGAGCATTGACACAATATCATACATATATACATTTACAAGTAGGCACAACTGAACGAGATTGAACAATTGCCTTTGATTTGGTAGTAGGTATGTTGACAATGTAGAAAAGTAAGCAATTTGGAAAAGTTAGTAAAAATATTTATAAAATATCATTAATAGATATTATTTATATACCTTTGAAGGGTAGCAGAGCGTAATGTGTAGGACATCTTGAAAATAATAAAAGTATACTTTCGTAACTCCACATTTAATTTATTTAGTAAAATTCACACACAAATAGTTTACTACATAAATACTTACATTTCTCTGTGTATAGAGTGATGTAGCATAGCGCATCGAAGCGTATTTTGCAAGTTATACACTAACATTTCAGTAGAGACAATTTATGAAATACGACATGTATATGTTCCTGTAACTACATTTGCTTTACAAATATGAATCTGTGACTGCGGGTAGGGGAATAAGGAACCATTGTTTGCATAAAGTCTAATGCTTGAAGTACTGTGTGAGTTAGGATGTTAAAGCTTTAATTCCTTAGAATTTGACTCTCCAATAGCTAATACAATTCCTTTCCCTATTGACTTATTGTTATAGAATGATGTAATTTTTCATAGATGAAATTTGATAGAATGATTTAGCTTCTGATGAATTGTTATTATAGTATCACGTAATTGTACATAAACAGGATCACATCATAGTCATCATGTCCCTTGAGTTGCTAGGGCATCAGATGTATGTATGTTTGTATTTCTTTGATGTTGAGGAGAATTTCTCTAGTCTTTCCCCACAATGAACAAGCACTTTCTTCCCTACTAGCATTTTTACATAGTATTGGATTAAAAAAAGATTTAATTTCTTTTCTTGTGTTATGATATAAACACTGCAATTATGGTAATATTATCCAGTTTAAGGATCTTATGAAACTAACCTTAAAGAAATGGCAAAGAAAAAATAATTACATTCATGAAATTGATTAAAAAAAGAAATTAATTATGTACAGAAACATCAACCACTTATCTTACAAAATTATCTCGAACACTCAAATGAAATTCACGTATCTATTGTGATATTATCTCCTATCACGATATTCATTAGATATTTTCTACACAAATATATTGAGGCCACTATTGTCATCAACCGAAGGTAACGGGGGAAGTCAATTTAGTCAAAAGTAGTGAAGCAAATGAGCCGCGACAAAATGCTTCGTGATATGATGTAGTAAATGTTGATTTCGTATCAAACTACAAATAACTGCGAAGCAAATACGTGGGAAGTTATTTGTTTATTTTTCTATTCAAATTGCGAGCAAAATTGTTTTCGCTTTCACTTTTCGATGATAACTAATGGTCGGATGTACGGTACAAGCTTCAGTAATTAGTCTTTATTCGAAGACTTGCGACTCGCCGCGGCTTTTACGCTGTTAAATATTTTTATAATGTTATAAAATAAGAATAATGTTATACTCAAAAATAATGTTCCTTACCTAATTCTACTAATGAAAGATTTTTCAAAATTCGTTTATAATTTTTTAAGAGGAACTCCTACAAAGTAACTTACAAAACTTTACCCCTTTATTTACCTCAGAAAAGTAAGTCACGCGTTCAACACGAGTTAAGAAAAAAAATCATACAAAATTTGCATAAACATGGTTCCAAACAGTGTCTAACTTTTTTGTAGTAAGACCTTTTATCTTTATAATATTGGAAGGTACAGACAATCCGTTTCTGCAAACAGAAATTTTACAAAAAAGTAAACTGGCAATATAGCCAGCTGAATAAAATTATATGCTTAGGTATCAAATACACAGTTAGGTCATAAGTATTGTCAAACAGTAAAAACTTTTCTTTTAGAATGCTGGCCACAAAAAAGTTTATTGAATTAAAAATATATACTTTTTAGAATTTTACTCATTTTTAAGTATGAAGCGGACGCTTAAAGAAGACCGTGTTGCAGTTATTGCGTTGCATCGTTGCGGTTAAGCGCCAATTCAAATTTTTGACATACTGAAAATTTTGAATATTACCAAA